TTCTGTAATTTCATTTTCTGTCTCACTTCCACTTGAGTTTATTTCTAAATCTGTTGGTAACGTTGCGAGTGACATGAAAATGGTAATGGGCTCTAGAACCCCAGAAAAATGGGACGAAAAAATACATTGGGTGAAAGCACAGACGACATATACCTCGTCTGTGGTGGTATCACAGACGAGATATATGAATAGACCTTTCACGTAATGTAATTTTTCGGCCGGAGTTTCTGGGGTCCCGGGACCCCATTACCATTTTCGTGTCACTCGCAACGTTATCAACAGATTCAGAAATTAACACAAGAGGAAGTGAGACAGAAAATAAAATTACATAAATTTTATTATTTTTTAACGGAATTAAAGCTGTAGGGTCTATCATTGGGCATTAATCGATTAATTTCATTGGAAAACTCAATCGATTAAGAGTATTTAAAAATTTCAAGATTATTAAAATTCCTAAGGATGTATTTCATTGATACGTACACCGCAAATTCTCTATTTTTTATTTTAAATTGTAATACATCATTTATTAAAAAAATAACTCGGCAGAAACGTATTTGCGACTCGAAATCAGTTTAATCAGACTGTGCATCGGGGCCCCGGAAACTTCTCATTCCTCACTTTCGCACACTATGCCCAATTGCGTGTACGTGAGCTCGTTGAGTTTCGGAAGAGCCGAGAAGAACAGGCTGATACTCGCTTTCCTTCTCGCTCTTGCATCGCTGACGTCGCTTACATTTCTCGAAAGCAAGCCTGCTGGCATCGCCACCCGTTCGAATCGTCAGTAAACGACAAAAGCTATCGTGACTGACAGACCTTACATTTCTCGAAATCGGACCTGGGCGCTTTTTGAAGATTCATTGACTTTCCATACAAAGTGACCATGCGTTATATACATATACAGTTACTCACAAAATTGAGCGTACACCTATGTAGTTAATAAAAACTTGTGGGAAAATGAACATAAACAGACATATTTAAAAGTAAAAATGCATTATACATTTTACTTGTACATTTCAGCAGATAATGCGTGAAGAAATTTTTGAACAATATTGATTGTTCATCTGTGTTTAACAAAAACTGCAAAAGTATGCTTATTTTATCGTCACAAAATTGAGAGTACAGTTTATTAGTAACTAGAAAACTAACTTTTGTAAAACTTCTCATGGTTTACAATTCATTCGATTGTATCTAGTAACATAGTTCCGTTGCTATGATACGTTTGATTTTCATTTGTCATTGTTTATTAGTGAAAATTTGCACTATGGCTTCACAAAGATCAGAAACTGATATTTCTGTGCGAAAATTAGTTGTTAAATTGTATTGTCAAGGTAAATCTCTAAGGCAAATTGGAAAAATAATAGGTAGAGCCCACTCTACTGTACAAAAAATTATTAACAATTATAAATACAATGGTAGACTGCATAATCAGCCAGGACGCGGAAGGAAAAAAATTCTGACTGGAACTGACGAACGGTACATAATACGACAAATTAAAATTAATCCAAAAAGTAGTGTACCAAAATTAACAACAGATGTTTCATCGAGGATTAGAAAATCGATATCGACAGAAACTGTTCGTAGGGTGCTATGCGATAAAGGCTATCACGGGTAGCAAGGAAGAAGCCTTATATTTCTAAGGTGAATAGAATCAAGCGTTTGGAATTTGCAAAAAAATATGTAAGTTGTGATATAAATTTTTGAAAGAACGTAATATTTTCCGACGAAAGTTAAAATTAATTTATTTAATTCGGATGGAAAAATAATAGTATAGAGACAACCGAATTCAGAGTTCGATCAAAAGAATACGGTTCCTACTGTAAAACACGGCGGAGGTTCAATAATGCTGTGGGGATGTATGGCAGCAAGTGGAGTTGGTAATAACGAATTTATTGAAACAACTATGGACAAACTAAAATATCTCGATATTTTGAAAAAAAATTTGATATCGTCAGCTCTAAAATTAAACATGCCAGCCATATATTATTTCCAACAGGACAATGATCCTAAACATACATCGTATATTGTTAAAGAGTGGCTGCTATATAACGTGCCAAAATTATTACACACTCCACCACAATCGCCGGATATTAATCCCATTGTGAATTTGTGGCGAGAATTAAAATTACAAATTAAATAATTGTAGTTTTAGTAATAAAACAGATGCTAAACGCAAAATTGTAGAAATATGGAATAGTATTCCGTGTTCGACTACAGAAAAATTAGTCGAGTCTATGCCAAAACGTTTGAGAGCAGTTATAGATGCAAAAGGATTTGCAACAAAATATTAAAATAAAATCTGTTAGTTATTTTTGTTTAATTTGATCTGCTGTATGCTCAATTTTGTGACACTAAAACAAGAACAGTTTTGTTGCTTTTGCTAAATAGAAATGAATAATTAATTTTATTTAAGACTTTTTCCACTAATTGTCCGTCAAAATATATGAACAAAATAAATATTATATTTTTACTTTTAAATATGTCCGTTTATGTTCATTTTCCCACCAGTTTTTATTAACTACATAGGTGTACGCTCAATTTTGTGGGTAACTGTACATGTTATACATGCTAGGAACTATAAGTTGTATAACTTTCGTCGTATATCTACTTTCTAATAACATGGGAAATTTTTAAAATATAAAAAAATGTAAGAATACTGTAGAATTTTTGCAATGGAGAATTATTGAAGAAAAATGAATTGATTATATACATATGTATCTATCGGACACATCCCTCGCAAACACGCTGCAAACATTAATGAGAACAAAACTGCTAAATCTGTCCTTTTTTAAAACCCCGCAACTGATCTTTGACTCGCAACTCGTCCTCTTCATTTAGCAATTATAATAAACGTAGACTCATTAAAATTCGTAAAAATAACAAAGTTATAGCCATTTAGAGGGAAGAGTACCCAACAGTTAATAATCATACCAGAAATTTTAAATGAGTTTTTCTCGAAACCATACTTTCGAAATTGGCTGACATGATATCACAAATTCATATTGATTGATGGATTTGAAATTTATAGAGACATGCCTGTATGTTAGAAATTTTGCCTTTGACGGTTCTGGGGTAAGTCCGTTCCTCACAGTGCTCTTACCGGAAAGTCCCACGCCTTCCCCACTCCGTGGCCAGATCCTTCAGGACAAAGTCTTTATTTTTTCCAGCAGTTCGACGTCAGGTCGTCTGCCTCTTTTAACTACTCTCTCTCTCCATTCATAAACAATCAATGCCTCGACACGCGCTACCTGGAGACCCAACGCGGTCGTCCGCTATCGCGTCACCCGTTTCCAGGCCCGTTTAGTCTCATTCGCTCTTTAGGCCACATGCACCCCAAAACTCTGTCATAAATGTATCGTAGACTGAGCGTCCTTCAGTGGTCCTTACATTCGACTCTCTTGGAAAATACATTGTCGCTAGCGTTTCTGGAAAATAAAAGCCGATCCCCTATTTCGGGGGAATGTCCACCATTGTTGCCGTGGCGAAATCGACTTTTTTGCCTTCGAAAAAGATTAAGCAAAAAAGTTTTCTTCATTGAAAGAACAAAAATTTTCCAGTCCTTTATTTTCAGTAGGGGCGGTCTCAACTTCCATTCATTTTCATATGATTGATTTTAATGAGTCAGCGTTTTTTTAAATTGCTAAACAAAGAGGACAAATAGGACTCTCAAATATTTTCAGATTTAAAAATTTTAAATTACAGTGAAATTTATTCAGTTGTTTAGACCCAATAGTATTAATAGTATAAATATATGAACGCACGTCCATAAGCATAGTAAAAAAATGTCTTTTTTTTAATAGTTAAAATATGATCAGGGGGTCCTAAAACGTGTATTTCCGTAAAAAAAATTTTTGAAATTTTTATTTCATTATGGTATTTTGCTTATATGTACATTGTATACGCCTACATAGGTCGGTAAGTCAAAAATGCCTGGGCAGTCGAGAATCTCGGCTTCAGATTATGCGAGATCGAATTTCGGCTGTGTTAAGAGCAAGAAGGATAGACTGACATTCGCCGCCTTTCTCGAATCCTCGAAGAGATACGAAACGCCAGAACTCATATACAAGGAGGTTGGCATTAGTGTGTGTAAGTGGCGGGGCAGCTCCCTTTGGGCACGGGTCTGCCATCTGATAATACTGCACTGCTTTTTCAATCCCCCCCATAGTCAACTCACATGTATTTACGCACACACTACAGCTGGCTGCCCATCAATACTAATTCAGTGCCTAGTTTCTCAACTAACCGCCATCCATGAGAAGAGGCCGCTAAAATCACCTCCGAATTTTCAGGTCGGTATGGCAGTCAGATTCGGCCGCGAAAGTCCATAAGGTGAAAGGTCTATTCATATATCTCGTCTGTGATAGTACGCATCTCCAAATACGTATAACTTTTGATACTGTTATTTCCGATACTCAGAATTGATATTTCTGGAAAAATATCATAACTTTTTATCCTTCATAAACGAAGTACAGCCAAATTGGAAACTATCGGTACTCATGCTAGAGATATTGTTGTTAAGTGACGTAAACGTGTCGAATCTCCATTTTAGACAATAGCCAACTGTTGAACGATACTTCGTTGGTAATGTAGTTCACGACAGAGTCGAGTCAAATTTTAAATTGAACAAAACGATACCATTTGAGACACTGATTATATTATATGTAGACGAGAAATAGATCGTAAAAAGATTTTTAATAACATTACTGTTGCATAGCATAGGATCTAGTTTCACAAACGATTTAAGCAATTGAAACCTTCGGATATTAACGCGATGCATTGCAAACGATGTTTAACTCCCGGGCAGCCACCTGTCGCGCGCATGCGCCGTCGCGGTAAAACACCTCGCTGCTCGTTCCGAGTGCCAGTGTAAACCAAAATGGCGAGTGCGATGAAGGGTCGTGACAGTTCTCGGCGCGTTTCGCTCGTGTTCACGGATTTCTGAACGGGACGCGCGCGGCTATGTGACTCACGTGACTGATCCAACTACGAACGGTGAGTGGAGAACGATGATTTATTCGTGGCGGACAGCGGACACGCGATTATTCGGAATATCTTCGAACGGATTGGCACCCTTCTGTTCTCGATGGACAGTAACAGTGTGACATTGACGTTACTCGTCGAATTAAGGTGTTCCAGCGATTGGTTGTACACCTGACTCATTTTCACTCTCACGTCGAATGTCCACCACTCGTCTTAACGCTGACAACGGGGGAATATCTCTTTCTTGGGTGTGTATCGCTTGTATGTTAGAAAGAGGGATCGTTCGATGAGTGTCGATTAACCCTAAGATGATTTCTGTCAAGTTTTACTTCTAGAGTCATGCAAAACTCCTGTCGAAATTTAATTTCACCTGGTTCGAATTAGACGAATTTATAGAATTAATAGTAAAATAATAATGTCTTACGAAAAAAAATATTGGTACACGTTCATTTCTTGATAAGCATAAGTATCGAAAGAATAGAAAACGTACGAATTAACTACTTAATGCAACAAATCGATTGTTCTTCGAAAGTTTCTCCGAAAGCCCAACTTGAAAGTAACGAAACTGAAAATTTGTTTTTATGTCGCGGCAGTTTAAAGTAGTATTTACTGCAATAGATTATTTTCCTCATAATACCAATTCACTAGAGAATGCATTGTAATAATTACGTGTCTCGTGAAATTTTTGAAGGTAATGCTAGTTAAATGCTGGTTAGATACTTGAAATTGAATGAAGCAAAACTTTAACGATTAACACTATTTCTACTAAAGATGCCCCAAGACACCTCTTGGTCGAAATAAGTATGCATAAAACCGCGGTAGAAATGGCATTAAAGAGAGTAAAATAAACTGTAAATAATTTGAAAATGTGTGAGATCGGTTGTCCTAAGGTTATTATAATTTATTTCGCGGAAGTGTCACGATGTGCGTATTATTCTGAAAGTATCGGTTCTGTGTCGCGTACGTTCGAACGTGAACTGATTACGCTCGCAACCTTTTATCGTAGAAACTGTCGCGTGCGTGCAATAGTTTTTAATCCTAATTTACGGTTTAGTACGTTGCAAAGACGGTTACTATAGTGAAAAATAACTGTTACAAACTGTTGATCAAAAAGTAAGGTTTCCTCTTGTGTCGAATTCTGTGATTCCAATTTATACAACCATTAAGTATTTATACTCATATACGAAAGTGTTCGAACGTTTACACTGATACATTGGTGTCAATTGTGATTTAGAAGTAAAAGAATCTCCCTTGATTTTTCTTATAATTACCCTTTCTTCTCTTCGATTAGCTTTTTTCAACCCCTGGTCACGATGGCATTAAATGTCGTGTAGTATTTTCATCGTACGATTATGGTCATGCGTCTTCACCGACACTGGCGGATATTCCTGTATTCACTGGATTAGGATTAGGGTCGTTGATGCGTTAACGGCTTTACATGCGTTTATGAAAGTACTTTGTACGGTAAACGCAAAATGTCAAGCTACAAGTGACATTCGTTTTATTTGTTAATTTAGATATTTTTTAAAACTTATTTTTAATAAAAGTCACAATTATATTTAATCTTGCATCGAATGTACAAATTGTAGATACAACCGATACAATTGAAATCTGAATATTTTTAATAGGAAAATTAGTGTAGCATAAATATTATACGGAATTAAAATTTTCGTCACAGTACGGTCCTGTGGCGCAACGGATAACGCGTCTGACTACGGATCAGAAGATTCCAGGTTCGAATCCTGGCAGGATCGGAATTTTTTTTTCGTTTTTATCGTCTATTTCACATTGTATTTTTATCGTTGTTGTTATAGACTGGGGTAACTTTGAATTTTAGTGCATAAAAGAGTTCATATCAACTTCCTCCTGACACTTTAGTCACACTGAATATAATTACAAGTGATGTATCAACGTTAATAAATAATTCGTGTAAGAAATAATAGTTGTCCGAAACTGCTGTGCGTCGAAAATAATGCAGTGAACACGAAGAGTTAATGTGCATATAGTATTGAACGATATTTAGTCGCGAACGTTCAATTGGGTACATTTCGTGACCTAATGTATTCAGATGCACGTGGAAACAGAACGCAACCAGGAACAAGAAATTTTTAGCCAACACGAGCATCGTGTCCCTCAAGAATCTCCAGGAATAGTACGCATTCCGGACAGGCCAAGACGATGACCCGTGCACTTTGTTTCTCCTTTTGCGTTCCCTCTCTCGAAAGTTCACCCGGAAGATAAACAGACTAACCGATCTTGATCGTCTTCGAAATTCACTGTGTAACCGACCGTTACCATTCTACAGGGTGAACCACGCTAATGGGTTCAACGAAGCATTTTGGTTATTTATGGTCGAGTGAAAAAAATCTCAGGGCAAAGATATACTGTCCAAGTCTGTTCAACTTTGTTTCATTATCTTCAGAGAATGTACAAACAAATACATAGGGTGTTCGGCCGTCCTTGGGAAAAATTTTAATGGGAGATTCTAGAGGCCAAAATAAGACGGAAATCAAGAATATCAATTTGTTGATAGAGGCTTCGTTAAAAAGTTATTAATATTTAAAGTTCCGCCCGTACTGAATTTTTTCCCCGAAAATGCGCAAGATTTCAAGGGTATATCTATTCACCAAAAATGATTGTAATTGACCCCCACAGCAGAAAATAATGTTTCCAAAACGATTTGAAATTTTTTTTTTGTCGAAAAATTTAGGCACCTAATTAGATTTTCGGTAATGAATTTTTTTCTCGAAAGTACGTAGAATTTCGGGGGTATGTGTAATGACCAAAAATGATTGTAATTGACCCCCGCAACCGAAAATAATTTTTCCAGAACGATTAGATATTTTTGAATTTAATTGTTAATAACTTTTTAACGAAGTCAAATCAACAAATTGGAATTCTTGATTTTCGTTTTATTTTGGCCTTTAGAATCCCCCATTAAAATTTTTCCCAAGGGTGGCCGAACACCCTGTATACAGTTTATTTGTTGCACAAACGACGACTCTAGTAATACAAAAGTGTAAGTAAACAAGCAATGAATAAACGCCTGTAAATATCCTTAAAAATGAAAAGTGATTCTTGTATTCGCGAATGCTTCGCTCGCGTAACGCGTCAATCGATAACTAGTGAAAGCATTAAATTTTGTTCCACGATGCGGTAAACTTTCTCTTTTTTTTGAATGCGCGTTAGAACACTGCGGCAAAATATTCGAGTTGGAAATTTTCAATGGTTACCCGAATCCATGCGCACTCGACGTTTTCAGAGAAATTGTTCATGCCAGGCTGCCGGTACACTGCGTTCCAGTGACGCACTTACAAATTTCGCAATGGGGGCGCAACTAAAAATTTACAGACAAATTTATCCTAATACATTCCAAACACTTGGTAAAATTATATTCAAGAAGATACAGATAACATTTATTTAATATTAAATGGAGGTATTCTAATATAAACCTTTAAAAAAATCGGTTTCTTTTTTTTTTCTCTCAGTTTTCTCGAAGTTACACGTGCAATATCCTGCGTTTCTTGTTCCTTTGTGTACAATAAAATTGTAATGGCGAAGAAATGGATAGCAGTGCAATTACTCGTTGCGCCCTCTTGGGTGCGCCACTACCGCGGCCTATTTTCTAATGCTCGTTTCCTTCGATCTAGGCAACACTAATCGATACGACGCGTTAAAAGCACGGACGGTCAAGATAAATTTTCTACTTATCTCTTCCGGACGCTAATGCATCCTTTCCCACGAAATTATGGCGGACTAACAACTAATTGACACGGTTAATTGCCGTTCGATTCGATTAGACGAAAATTGGAACGACCGCAGTGTCGCCTAGCGGTCTGGCAATAGATTATTCGCGCGAGTTATGGGTTCGTAGCTGCGTAGCGTACAAATTGCGTCGATTTAATTGCTCTCTTTTCTCTTGTCTGAACACGCGATTCGACTTATCGTACGTGCGACAAATAATCTGCACAGCTGTCGGGGAACTCGGTATCTCGTTTGCGGTCACCCTCGAACTTCCGTCTGGGGATGTAAATTTCCATGACAGGATGTTCCTATTTTGTCTGCGCTCGTAGTTGTGGTTCAAACAAGCGGAACGGATCGTGAATTTTTCATCCTCTATCTCCCGCCTCTCTTTGTCCGAACGCAAGGAATAACACCGTTTCCTCGTGGCGTTCACTTTTCTCTGTGCCCGCAGTAAATCGACACTCGTGTATACATTACGGCGCCATAATTATCTTCTTACGATTTCGTTTTCGTAATCCGTTAGATTCGACGAGGAAAGTGGATGTCGGTCAGAACGAACGTTCGCGCGTGCTGTTCTCAACGCGAGTAAGGAACATAACCTAACCAATGTTGGGAATTCTTTAGTACGTCGCATTAAGAAATGTGTGAAGTAAAAACCTGTTGAGACTGAAAATATCTCGAGATAATTATTTACGACGATATAGCCGAGCTATGTAGAGCGAATTGAATATTTATAAAATGTTGTATTTAAAAATATGGTGTAAAACAGGGGAGCTTCCGTCAAATTGAGACGGTAACTAGAGTCGCCGGCGACAGGTGACAGTCTCCGCGCGGTCAATAAAATGTTAATCGGCTATATCCACTCTGTCAGAGTGTGTCATTGTTCGAAGATGTTTGTAAACATAGAAGCAAAGCGCAGCATGCAACTTCTCTGTGACTCGAGGCCATTGTTTTCTATCCTCGGAATCGGAATCCTTACTCAGGACGGGAGTGTAAGTGAAAGGAAACTTCTTTCAGTTATCTCGCCGCGCGGACAATAGACAATGGCCCGTGGCAAAATTACATCGTGAAATGGCGCGTCCTTTTTCCCCCATTGCGTCCCATTTTTTCACCGTTTCGAACTATCCGCTGGCCAAGAGGCGGCAATTTTAACCAGTTAGCTGTGATTAACAAGTATACTCGTCATGGAAACGTGGCAGGATTTTGTATCATGACGAGTATACTCGTCATGCGTAAAAAATAGTGACCATTGGCTATTTAAATTGTAATTTTTGTGAAAAATAAAACTTATTTTTCAATTCAAGATGTTTAGAATATTTTGAGGCCGGAATAAAACAAACTAATAAAAAATATGAATAATTTTTGATGAACTCATGCGTCCCCGTATGCACCGGCTGAAGCAGCTTATCAGTTCGCATAACGAATTTATTTATGTGCGATGATAACGTTTTTTAAATGTTAGCGTAAAAGCGGCAAAAGCAAAAGTCGGAAAACTGATTTATGA